CATGGTTTTTAAATCACGAATACTACCTCAATCCGAACACTATAATGTGTAGGTTCCCCTAAACCATACACCCACCTGTACGCCCGATAAAGATCTTATGCTAATATCATAAGGGCTTGCGGTAGGGTCTTAGTGAATGCATAAAACAGAGGAACCTACAATAAGGTCTTACAAGTCATAGACTAGGCCTAAGATACTTCCTCCAATCATAGCCCCCAATAATAGTGAATATGCATGAATTTGAGTGGAATCAATAATTTAATTTAATAAAACCTTAATAAATGCCATTTTTTAAAATTAGATATAGAAATACAGTAACCATAGATCATGCCAGAATATACGGTAAATCAGGTATCAAAAGTCAAAGTATACGGTAAAACAAATGTCTTACTGTCAGAGTATTTAGTTTCCAAAAATAATCCTAACATAAAATAAATAATGAACTTTAATTAAATAATTTATGGAAACCTACGAGTAGCTCTCGAAGAACATGCAACATGTTGATCTATCAAACGGGGAGTACCGGATCTTGTCGACATTTAGTCGATCAGGGGACACGAGTGCCTTTACAAAAATATAATCCCAAATTAATTTCATAATCAAATTTTAAATAAATAAGAAGAAATGCTAAAAATACTAAGTATTTTCATATTAAAGGGCTTGATTCGGGACTTTTGGGTTAGAATTAGGTGAAACAGACTGCAAAATTGGACTCAAGACATCGAAAAATGTCAATAAGGAAGTTTTCAAAAAAATCAACATCGATTAACGGTCAAAGTCAACGACGATCAACTGCGATGGTCAAATGGCACGGTCAGCTGTATCATACGGTATAGTATGGTATAGTTAAATTGGTTCGAGCGGCCGTGCTTTGGCTCCGCTGGACTGATTATATTTGGTTCGGTTAGGCTGATCTAAGTGGGCCGATTCTGTATTTGAGTCGGATGGGTAAGCGGGTCAGACGGGGCGGGTAGAACGGGTCGAATGCAGTATGGATTGGGTCAGATAGGTGGGTCAACGGGTCGGTTTGACCCATTTCTATAAACCCACCAAGCGATGGACCTCCCCACATGCAGCGGAGGCGTGTGTGGTGGCTTCTGGCGACAGTAAAATTACAAAAAAAAATTATAAAATTATTTTCAAGTGTTTTAAAGAACTTACTAACCTCAGTTCACGTTGGTGAACAACAGAGAGCTCGATATCTCTTCGTCAAAAACTTGTTAATGTCCACCCTCCTCATTCTGGTGACGAAAGCAACAACGAGACCACCACTAGACTCAGGACAATGCAAGGATTCTGATGGCACGGGCGGTGTAGCAACCGAAGCTACGATTGGTGACAAGTCGATGATTGAAATTCTTGAGTAAAAATTGCCACAAAAAAAAACTTTGAAAAAGAGTGTTATAGCTTTCTTAAAATGGGGTTTTAAACCATCCAAATGGGTATATTACTATATATGTCTTTGATCTTTGGTTATTTTTTTATTTGGGTCATGAATTTAGCAAAAAATGAAATTTAGTCCCTAAAATTTATCAAAATTTCAAATTAGTCATCAGAATGAAATAAAAAATTTAACCCTAAAATTGGGGTATGACAATCATTAACTATAACACCTGGAATCCCAGGTTAGTAGCTCAGATCAACCCGAGACCCAAAGTTGAGCCCAAAAGACTATAAATTAGTTGGATCAAGTTAAGTGTTAGTGGTCTTGAGTTGAGGCCCAAGGAATTGTGGTTAAGTGATAAAAGTTTTATGATTTAGAAGTTGGGGGACTGATAATGTAGTTTGCCTATAGTTAAAATTAAAAGATGAAAACCTATTCCTTATTCTATCTTATACATGAACCATCCCCATTACCTCCTCACCAAATACTTATCTTCTTTCTTCCATAATTCCTTTCTTTCTTCTTCCTTCCAAGTTGAGATATTATGAATTCTAAGTATGGGGTTGCTAAGCTAAGGTGAGAATGTTTCTCTCCATCTTTCAAGTTTGGTTTTAAGCTCCATTTTGTAAGTTTTAGAATTAGTTTTCAAAATGGGTTTTTCTTGAAGGTAAGGTGGCTCCAAGTTGAGTTGAGAGGTGTTTTAGTAGCCAAGGTAGTAAGGTAGCTATATCTTTCTCATACCAAGTGTAGATCATGGAAAGTTAAGATGTGTTAGAAAGTTAAGTTTAAAGCAAGTTTAGCGATTTCCATGGTAGATTTTTCATTTGATGGTATAAGCATGTTGACAAGCCTCTATTATGACCCCCGTTGATTAAATAAAACTTTAAGCATGTTTAGGGACCTCACTAAGGTCTTTGGGATTGAGAAATAGAGTTTTTCATACTTGTTTTATGACTTCTGCAAGTAGAGTATTGATACTCTAGGGATAATATCAATACTTGTTCTTCGTTTTGGGAAAATTCATGAGTTTCTGGGCAAGATTATCGATATTCTTTCAAGAGTATCGAAACTTTAGGTCAAAGTCTCGAAACTCCAAGAAAGTTTCTTAACTAGGGAGAACAGAATGTTTAAAAGTATCGGTACTTGTATAAAGTATCAAAACTTTTGCAGGAGTATCGATACTCTCGATTAGTATTGATGCTTTCAGTCTGTTTTGGGTAAAAAGGTTAGTTTTTTTAGGGAATTAGACTCGAGGTACCCTAACACTTCATTATATCATCAAATAAGACTACAAGTGAGAACGATAAGAAAACATAGAAACAAGAATAAAGTAAGATCAAATAATACTAGCCTTGTTTGAATGCTCAGGAAATGAACAGGACACACTAGTTCCTTTAGAAAAGATAACAGAGAAGAAAATATAGAATCAGTCCGGATATCCTTAAGTAGTGCGAAGGCACTTAAAGCTGATTAGTTTGGGCGCAAGGTCCAATACTCAAGGAGTGTGCTAGTTGAGAGTGTGGTGTCAGATGCAGAGATTCTGAGGGCCACATTCTCGTTAGACTAGAGGGGTGTGTGAGCTCCGAGATGCAGAACCCTCATCTGCACCATGATGTCTACCATAGAGTAGAGAGTGACTAAAGTAGTACAAAACAGATCAATAGACCAAATAGAAAAACAGTAGACTTGAATGTTTAAGCCTTTCAATTAATCACAGTTAGTATGTTTTAGCCGTTAGTGTGGCGCTGAGCTAACTTTCGAATGATTCCGTGAGCAGGTTAGTAGATCAAGCAATTGGGAAGCAATAGATAGACCAGGGTCCAGACTAGTTCAGTGCAGATCAGATGTACGTCTCAGCGTTTTTACTGGGCATGTATATCTGTAAACATTATTGTCCAGTTGAGTCGTAGATTTAGTCAAGTTGGTTTGTAATATTTTTGAAGCGTAAATATTTTATTTTGTAACTCCTCACTGAAAATATTTTTATTATATTTCATTTTATTTTATGGTTGGTTATAATGGTCGTTTTAAAGCATGAGAAAGTAAGTTTAAAGTTGGTTAGACACTTCGGTGGTTTCGTGTAGCACTTTAAATTGGTCGATTGTGTGTCGTATCGGTCTAGGGTGTTACATTGACCCTTATGATGTGGACGTGGCACTTTAGGTGCTGATATGGTAGTCCAACTGACATGACAATCTACGGTGATTGGTGACATGTCTAAATGGCTAAATTATTTTTTTCAAGTTTGAGGGCCAAATTGATTTTTTTAAAAGGTTCAAGGGCTTATTTGATTTTTTTTAAAATGTAAATATTTTAAATTTAAAATACTACAAATTTATGTTAAGCCCTTTAGTCCTTCGATTTTTATTTTCAGCCCCTCTTAAAATTTGATTTTTTTTCACTTAAGCATTTTATTTTTATCATTGTTAGTATTAATGTCATTATTTTGGAACATGTAATATTGTTACAAATTATCGTAAAGCGTAAATATTTTAGAATTAGTTGGAAAATTTGATATATCTAAAGAAAATTTTATATTAGTTTATTATGATATTAAAAAAGATATTTATGAATTAATAAATTTGTGATTAAAATAATATAAATTTGATTGGATGACAATTATTTCTAATGCACTATAAATAAATGTTGAGAATTCATTTTATCAGTGCAGTATGGAGATTTTACTCATATTTTTAAAGATATTTTAATGATGTGTTCCAAAATAATGACATTAATACTAACAAATGATAAAAACAAAATACTTAACTGAAAGAATCAAATTTTAAGAGGGGTTGAAAATAAAAAATCAAAGGACTAATGGGTTTAACATATATTTGTAGTATTTTAAATTTAAAATATTTTTATTTTTTTTTAAAAAAAATTAAATAAATCCTTGAACTTTTAAAAAAAATCGATTTGGCGCTCAAGCTTGAAAAAAATAAAGCAATATAGCTCATCAGCCACGTCACCAGTCATCGTTGACTGTCACGTCAGCATTGTGAGGTGCCACGTCAATATTATAACGGTCAACGACAGAAATAATTAATCAAAAGATCACAATAGTTTTTATAAGTTCGAGAGCTGCATTGAATGTAAAAAATAATAAGAGCCACATTATTTTTAAAAAAAATAAAAATACAAGTGCCTCATTTACCCTTTTACTTATTTTAAATTGAAAACTATCATAAATTATTCTTAAATTAATCAGCCGGACAACATGACCGTAGTATACGGGTGGAGAGATATTGACTAATTCAACAATCCCTGATATTAATAATAATAATATCGTAAGGATTATAACTAATTGATCAAATTAACCCTTTGTCTTTTGTCTTAATTACCTAACCCAAGGACAAATCCAGCGTTATCCTCACTATTTTAACATTTTTTATGCATTGACCTGACCGTTTCTCAATTGCTGTAGTTGGGACATATGATTCTTTCCTAAGCTGGTGGTACTGGGACCAGTGATGTACTGAGGTATTGGTTGGATCAGTTGAAAATTTTAAATTTTATAAGTCTGTTCCCAATATAAAATATTACGTCTGTTTGAACAACTTGGCATATATATATATATATATATATATTCTGCAGTAGTGACTGAGGAAGCCCAAAATAAGTTAAGAGGTCGAAATGGGGAGGACACAAGCTTCAAGCAAGGTCTGCGTTACTGGGGGTGCTGGATACTTAGGTTCATGGCTCGTTAAGAAGCTCTTGGCCAAAGGTTACACCGTCCATGCAACGCTACGTAACTTGGGTTTATCTCCTCTCTCTCACACTCACCTTTTGGTTTTGTTTAATTTGTGCTTGTTCCCCGGCTGAAGTGTATATTGAATTGCAGACGACAAGTCAAAAGTTGGGATTTTAAAGTCCCTCCCCGGTGCTGACACAAAACTAGTTTTATTTCAAGCTGATTTATACAGTCCCCACGAGTTTAAACACGCCATTCAAGGGTGTGAGTTTGTCTTTCACGTCGCTACTCCACAGCAAACTCCTGGCAGTTCTCATACTTCTCAGGTAATTTATTATTCAATCTTCGCTAGCTGCTTACTATAGAATAGTTACGTAATTTATATGATTTGAATGTAATATTTTTCAAAGAGTTAGGTACTTGATAAGTTTTTCGGTTATAAATGGTTACAATCCTTTTTTTAGCCTTATACAACGGTTTTATTTTAGACTCCCCGGCCCGGCTAAGATACTCCTTTATGGGTTCCAGGAAGTAGTTGATGCAGCAATTTCAGGAGTGAGGAGCATTGTCGAGTCCTGCATCGAATCACAAAGCGTTAAACGGCTTATTTACACTGCTTCGGTGCTGGCATCTTCTCCTCTATCAAAAGATGGATTCAACTTGAAATCTTGCGTAAATGAATCGAATTGGACACCAATCGATATCTCGTTCAACCGCGGCTTTGAATATATGCGTGTAAATCTCTCTTTCATTCTCATGTTTAATAGTATTAATCGACCGTTTCCAAAACTTATTGTCGATATTATGTTATGTGTTAGAGCTAAATCATAATAAAAATAAAATTCAACTAGGATTTGTCCTATCAAATCATTAATAACAAAATCTTAGATTTGTGAAACCGTACTTGAATCCATTGATGGATATTAGTGGTTGTGGTTTTTCAAGAAGATATGTTTGCTTTTACCCTAAAATCTCTTTTGACGAGATAAAAATAATACAATTTGATCATATCCATGATACATATCACATAATTAATCACTTGATTTAATGTCATACTTTATAATAATATTATATATATGTGTTATATATGTGTACCTATAATTATGAATTTTAATCTAACTCTATGATGTTAGGCATATATTATATCGAAAACCTTAGCGGAGAAAGAGGCACTGAGATACAACGAAGATCTTGGAGATGGGAAGGTATTAGAAGTTGTAACACTCGCGTGTGGCCTTGTGGGGGGAGAGACTCTACTTTCGTATGTGCCATTAAGTGTGGAAGTGATGTTTTCGCAGCTCATCGGCAAACCCCAAACTTTCGAGGGACTAGAATTCATGGAAGAAGTTATGGGATCGGTCCCTATTCTGCATGTCGAAGACGCTACCGATGCACATATCTTCTGCATGGAGAAACCCTACATGAGTGGCAGATTCGTTTGTGCAGCGGCTAACCCAACCATCCGAGAATTGACAACTTATTTTCGACAATATTATTCGCAATACCAGATATCACAAGAGTAAGTATAATGTATTTACACGTAGGATGGACGGAAGGAATCGATTAGGACAGCTGTCTCACTTAGAATTTTTAAATTATTATATATTTTAAACTTTTTCTTTATAGTTTTATATTGATAATATATTTTTCCTCCTAAAATTTTATAATCTCATTTTCTAACATAAAATTATATATTCGGTCATATTTATCTCCTATTTTTATTTATGTTTATTTGTTGTTTTCACTCATATGATTTTAAATTGATCTCAATGGACAGGTTCATGGGAGAAGACAAGAAAGGCGTTGCATGTGACACCAGCAAATTGGTGGAGATGGGGTTTGAGTACAAATACGACTTGAATAAAATATTAGATGATAGTGTAACATGTGGGAGGCGACTGGGATCCATCTTTCTTAATTAGTGGTGGATTTAGGGTCAAGCTTTTGCCTAAGAACTATTACATAATTTCATGCGCATTAAGGTTTTTTTAATTAAATGGTTTTAAGAAAGTAGTTTCAGTAGTAATTAAATTTAAATTAGATTTTTATCTATTTGAGCCTTAGCCTTATCCTCTTATTTCACGTTAATTGCACGTTAATCTTTTGTTTTGTACTTATGCTGTTTATAAGTTTTTAGATTTAATGAATACACGTTATTTATTTGAGAAAAATGGTATATCCTAACAGGTATTTAAATATTGAGGGTTTATAAATGTAATTAAGGCAAGACAGGCTATACAGTATTAGATTATCGATTTGATGCCAACCCAACAACATAAAATATCCAATATGCCAACCCACGTTTTCATATTTTAGTCCCCAGAACAAGTATATTTATGACATAGAAGTCGAGGGAAATTACACTTAGATTAATGTAATATCATAGTTTGGACTGTAGATGAAAACAACGTTTACCCATCTACGTTCTTTATTTAAGGTTTCAAACTCAAATCCTGCTAAATTTAATTATAAGGTATTATTTATTTAAATTGTTTTAATGTATCCTTCAAAAACATTGTTTTAATATATCGATAATATACGTTGGGTCAGGTTAGGATTTTAATTCAAGGAGAGTAAAGTATAATTAACAATAGAAAATTAAGGGCAAAATAAAAATAAATAAAAATTCAAAGGCCTAAATAGATAATTATCCCGATATTTTTTAATGATAACAAAAATCGGGAAAGGGGCAGTGCCTCCAAGCTCCTACATAGCTTACTGTGTAACGCCCCGAATCTAGGGTTAGTAGTTCGGGTCAATTCGAGACTCATAAATCTGAGCCCAAAGGATTTATTAAAATAGCTTGGACCAAGTTTAGTTGAAATTGGGCTTGGGTTGGGCCAAAAGATTTATAAATGGTGATGAGTATTTTATGAAAAAGAAAGTCGAGGGACTAAAAGTGTGAATTTTCTTTTTGTTTTGAAAGCTGAAACCCCCCAATATTTTTATGCTTGTTTACGTGAACAACCCCCAAATATCTCACTAAACACCCTTCTTCCTTCTTCCATCTTTTTCTCTTCCTCTTCCTCTCCTAAGTGAAGTTTTTAAGCTTTGCAAGTTTAGTTTGGTTAATCTGAGGTGAGAATATTAATCCTCATTCTTCTAGTTTCAATTTAAGCTCCATATTGCAAGTTTTTAGTCATAGAAAAAATGGGTTTTTGGGAGATTTAAGAGAATATATGGATTATAGGTTGTTTTTGATAGATTCAAGTTCTTGGAAATGCTCTCATCTTTATTTTCACCTCATAGTTAACTTAGAAATTTACTTTTCTTATCCTTGATTAAAGAAAGAAGTGGGAGAAAGTTAAAAAGTTAAGGGAAAAGAGAAAGTATCTCTTGAGTGGGTTGAGGACTTTGCTAGCAGCCAAGAAATTCAATGTAACACACTCACAACTCCTTCACACCTTAGTGGGTCATTAGAAATGCAAGATAGCTTATGAGTTGACATTGAACCATGTTGAGTTATTTTCATGGTAGATTATATGATTTAGAGTTATTAAAGGTTTTAAAGCTTTATTTATGACCCTCTATGCTCACATAAGACACTAATAATAATTATGAATCTCAAAATAGTATTGTGGGTGACTTTGAGTGTAGAATTTGAGCCTAAGTAAAGCATTTTCGAGCAGGGGGTATTGGTACTGTAAGAATAATATCGATATTGTTCTTCCCTCATTGTAAAATTTCCTAAGTTATTCAAGGAGTATCGATACTCAGAGGGTAAGTATCAGTACTGGGGCATTTTTGAAAATATTGAAGCCAAGTTTGGTATCGATACTTATGGAAGTATCAATACCCAGGGTATCGATACCGAGGAAATTTTCATAACATATAATCAAAATTTTATATCGACACCCTAATTAGTATCGATACCCCAACTTAGAAGTATCAATACTAGTTGATAGGTATCGATACTATTCCCTTCCCCATCAGTTGAAAATAGAGTAGAGAATCAGTACCTAAAGAGAGGTATCGATACTAAGGGATCAGTACCAGTACCGAAGGGCCTGTTAGTACCATCATACATTTTAGGTCATAAATTTTCAAGGAATTTTAGAGGGAAATGAGGTTTCCAAGAACTCTTTAATTACTCTCAGATAAGACTACAAGTGAAAATAATAATAATGTTAAATTACACTTAGAAACAAAAATCAATTAGGGTGACATAAAGATAGCCTTGATTGATGCTCGGGAAACAATCAAGGCACTTGAATTCCTTTAGTAAGATAACGATGTCGATGTATAAAATCAGTTCATATATCCTTAGGTAGTACGCGAGGAACTTTAAACTGACTAACTAGGGCAATCTGACACCCGCGAAAGGTGGATTATTCGAGGCTGTTGTGTCCGATGTAGAGATTCTGAGCCACATTCTTGGTAGATTAGAGGGGTGCGTGAGCTACGAGATGTAAAACCCTCAGCCCGCTATAATGTCTACCCTAGAGTAGAGAGTGAATATAAGAGTATACTCACTGATGCATGAGATTTGATAGCTTGAGCATTTTTTTCAATACACTTTTGTATGATTTAGTTGTTAGTGTGTCATTGGGCTAGTTAGCTTAGCATTTGGAATTTATTTCCTTACAAAGATTAGTAGAGGAGCAGTGAAGAATCTTTTGTCCAGCTTGATTCCAGACCCAAATCCATAGCAGATTACGTCTCGAGTTCTTCTTAGAGGGCATGCATATTTGTAATCCATGTTTTGTATATTCCTATCATAAATTATTTAAAATGATGGTCTGCATAAATTGAATGATTATTACTGGGAGCTCTCGATGCAAATTATTTTATATAAATGTTGTCGTTTTAATCCATTATGAATATTTATAAATAATTGTTTTAATTAATCAAGTAAAGAAATTTTTTGGTTAGACACTCTAGTGGTTCCGTGTGGCATTCTGATCGGCCGACTGTATGTCATACTAGTTCAGGGTGTTACATTTAGTGATATCAAAGCATCAGGTTTAGATGTTCCTAGGACTTGCTAGTCAGAGCCAGTAAAAGTTTACAAGTATACATGCCTCTAGGGATGTTAAGAGTACTTCTGTTTCTAAAATATTGATAGTAACCCCTTGTATTGTTTAATTTCAGAAGTTTAGATATAAAGGAAAGCCCGACCCACAGTCAGGAGGATAGGCATGAGATAAGGATTCCCTTGCGGGTGATATAGTTGATGATTTCATCCCTTAGACGGGTTTTTAGGAGCCTAGGGATGCGGGGGTCGAGAAGGTGACATTTTTTAGAGATATGATAGCGACCCATATATGCATAACTAGAGCTTTATCCAGGACCCTTGCTACCTTACCTAACCAACCTATTCCGCCAGCTCCATTGGCTATAGCCCTGCAGGAGTCCCTATTTGAGAGGCTCTGGAGGTACCAGATTTCTTCGATATATGATACAATAATCCTATAGCGAATGATCAGCAGCTTAAGGAGACCCTTAAGACCCTTCGTCAGTTACACCTCACTTTTGAGGGTGTGTTAGAGTGCGCCACCTCCCTACTGAAAGGTGTCATTATAAACTAGTGGTAGACAGTTGAGATGTCTTTGGAGCCCGAACGACCTACTGGGATTGTTTCTTAAAAGAGCTCCGTCAGAAGTACATCGGAAAGAAACATATTGATGATTTGAGAGATTAATTTACCTAGTTTTCCCATGAGGATCGATTTGATTTTAGTATGAAGTGAAGTTCCTCTATTTAAGCCGGTATGCACCAGAGCTAATGTCCTCTAAATATTGTTGCTATAAGAGATTTAGAGAGGGACTCCGTTTTGATATTTTAACCAATCTGGCCGCTGATATGCCTAGAGTGTTCACTAAATTGGTCCGTCAAGAGAAAACGGTAGAGAGTGTAATGAAGCAAAGCTGCTGAAGTGAAGACTACTTCTAGTTAGACCCGAGGAGGGGTAAGATAATCGGGACCTTTACAATCGTCCATGAGGATGAGGGATTCTCTAAGGTCTTGGAGGCCCCCAACAGGTTAGTTTAGCAAATCTGTGCACAATGCAAGTAAAGGTAGCGGTAGATTCTGACCAGCGTAAGAGACCTTTGGCCACTTCTTCAGTAGCAAGTTCTGGAGGTTCGGCTAGGCCACAGTCTCAGTCCAACTGTTCCATCTGGCGTAAGAGGTATATGGGAGTTTACCAGCAGAAGTCCAGAGGTTGTTATCGTTGTGGTTCTCTAGACTACTTCATCAAAAATTGTCCAGAGGCACGAAATATGACCCCAACTTCGACCTAAAAGTCAATTTCGTCAGTTCAGAGAGGTGAAGGGTCTCAGAGAGGTGGAAGTTCTTCTTCCGGTCATATTGGTAGGGCTGAAGCTCAATATGGGGCAAATGCTGAGCCTAGAATCACCTTCCTTCAGTATACAGTTCAAGCTTGAGAGGATTGTGATGTCACTGACGTGATCTCAAGTACTTTTACCGTATTTTATCTTCTAGTTTTTGCTGTAATCGACCCAAGATCCACCCATTCCTACATATGTTATGACCTAGTTAAAGAAGGTAATATTTTAGCTGAAAACCTTGAAATATGAGTTCGAGTGTTCAGTATTTTAGGATTAGATGTCCTAGTAAATAAGGTCCATCGTAGATGCCCTGTTGAAATTCAATGTGAGACCTTTTCAGTTGATCTTATGGAGCTTCCTTTTAGAATTTGATATGATTTTAGGCATGGATTGGTTCTTTAAGCACGATGCGAGTCTGAGGTGTAAGCTTTGATGGCTTAAACTCAAGAAAAATGATGGAACTATGATCGTTATGTTTGGTGAGAAGCCAAAGGGTGCATGGGTTGTGTCATCCCTTAAGGTATAAAGAATGTTGGAACAAGGTTGCAAAGCCTTCTTGGCTCATATAGTTGATACCAGAGTTGCGATTAAGAGGTTAGAGGATATTTGAACTGTAGAGACTTCCTAAATGTGTTTCCAAAAGAGTTACCAAGATTACCATTGGATCGAGAGCTAGAGTTTGGAAGAGAAGTAAT